GTAGAAGCAGAAGGATTGTTGTGCTCTGGTTGTTGTAAAGCTGAAGTAGTTTCAGTATGTTCTTCAGGCTGAGACGCAGCTGCCACATTTAAATCAGAAGCCAGTCTTTCAAGTAAACCAGCTCTAGTAACTTTCTCCCATTTCAAATCGGCAACGGATACTCTTGTAGCTCTGACAGTTGGACGAGCGATTGGTGTACTGTCAGTGACATGCTCGGTAGGTGAGTCTTCATTTAGTAGAAGGTGCAGTGCACAGGTCTTGCCAGCTCCAGGAGGTCCATGCATGTTAACACGAGTAACAGTTAACTCGACACTACCTTCTTTTAGCCACTTATCCACAACTCCTAGAAACAATCAAAATAAAAAATTTTAAATTGTGAAGTAAGTCAAGTAACATGTTTTTATTACCATTTGAGACAGGAAATACTTTCTCCATTGGGTGCTCATGACCAACCTTATGATAACAGGTGGAACAAAGATCATAATCCTAACAACATAATGCAATTTAATAAATAAAAACTACTGCTGCATACTGTACATGTAGATGCACACTATACATACAGTATATTCTTACCTCACATTTAGTACAATGCCAGCTAAACTTGATGTTTGTGCTACAATTATTACAACAAGTACCATCCATCAGAGATGAAGGCATAGAGTGAGCTCTACTACAATAAACCTGTCTGCCATTAACAATAGAACTGTGAACTGCTTGTACAGCCTGTTAGAAAGAGAAAAGCACTGAATAATTTTGACAAGCTATAAAATGTGCCCATAATTGACAAAAGGTACCTTATGGCGGATTTTAAAATACCTCTTTGAAATGAAAAATATTAACCTGTGAGTGCTCTGTTAGTCAACAATTGTTTCTATAAGCTATATAGTAACTTTTTGCATCCTCTGGAGTAATTTTATGATAAAGGGAGCTCAGGAAGTTGGATTTTTTAGGCTATAAAGACCAATTTTCTTATCCGCCATAAGGTACCTTTTGTCAATTATGGTCACAAATGTCAATGTACATGTAACTATACGTACATGTATAATGCTAGAAATGAGAGCCACTTTGTACATAAGGCACATAAACTTACAGCTGAAGCTGCCTCATGTGATTCAAAGCTCACGAATCCAAAGTCCTTTGAGACTCCTTCATTATCCTTCATCACAACAGCAGCGGCAATGCTACCAAACTTCTCAAAGAAATTGTACAGCATTTCATCAGTAAAATCCTCTCCAAAATTCTTAACAAAGACAACATTAGTGTAGTGCTGGTTGAAGCCAGTATGAGACCTGTCCTTCCTTGGTATAAACTTGCCAACATGACTATAAATAAAAGAAAGGGAGACAGTGTTAAAGGGCTGCAAATTACATGTAATCTGCTTACACTTTCCTATTATTCAGCAACTGTCCATTGACTTTCTCAATGGCAAGGTCAGCTGCCTCCTGCTCATCAAAATGAACAAAACCAATGCCTTTGGACTGCCCGTTAAGATCAGTTGCCACCTACATGATGATAGAGAAAGGGGAGAGAGGAAGATGATAAGAGGGAATGGCCTTGGAATAAGTGCTCAGAAGCTGAAATGATAAAGACATACAAATATGTGGTACATACCTTGCATGATAAAATGTTCCCAAAAGCACTAAATGTGTCATACAGAGCTTTGTGGTCAATAGACCTCTCCAAATTCTTAATGAAAATGTGTCCGGCTCTGGAGCGACGAAGAGAGGGATCACGCTGGGACCACATGATATAGCAAGGTTGTCCCTTGATTGGCTCATAGTTCATAGTATCGAATGCTCTCTCAGCTAGAGGGGAAAAAAGGATTAATCTAGATATAAATTTAAAATCTTACCATCTGCTGGCTGCTGGAAGTAAATATAAGCATATCCTAACGATCGCTTTGTGATGAGGTCCCGACAAACACAAATAGAGAGTACAGGACCAGCTTTACTAAAATGGTCAAATAGATCAGCTTCATTGACATCAGGGAGAAGGTCACCAACATAAAGAGACTGAAGTGGTGGGAAACTAGGCGGGGGATTCATATTAACTGCCATTACTGATTGTGTGCTAAAGAGGGAGAGAGAGAGAGAGAGAGAGAGAGAGAGAGATGGGGGTTGAGGCCAAGCTCTCACTAGCTGAGAAAAGGCTTGACCATTACAGTCATCCCATGCCTCAGGTTAATGTTTGCTCAATATTTCACTCTCACTCTTAGACAACATCAAGCCCTAGTCTTGCGTAGCCAGACTCTCAAGGGGTGGAGAGTCTGGCTACGCGAGACTAGTCAAGCCCCAGCTGTTCCACAGTAATGGTTGGGTTTTAGCTATTCTAGTCAGCTGGTACCATATAGCACTGATAATAAATTTCACTAATTTTGGCGGATGTTTAAAATTCATGAAATTAAAATCCATTAAAATTTCTTTGTTCAATGAATAAATATATAAGTCATTTTTGTGACTTTTTTATCTGTGAAAGCCTATAGTAGGGAAAAGTTTGCAAAATTTTATACCCACAAAAATATAAGTGCTACACGGTATTACACATATGTCATTGTGACTACTGGCTAGTTAGGCAAGGTAGTCCAATACAGTCTTGAGAACCGCAAGTGGGCTGGGTTTAAAACGTGTTAAACAATACCTCTCACCACTCTACCTGCCTATCACATGCTGCAACTTAGAGGGGGAGGTAGGACTGCAGGAGCAGGGGCTTAAGTCCCATTTATACACAAGTACAAGGTATCCATGATTCATGATTCATTACATGTAACATAACCTTTTTGTATTACAATAAATATTATACTATTTGTAAGAATAAGGTATATATATATATATATATGTAAACAAATTAGGCTTACTGATACTTGTCTTATAACAGTACGGACAGCTAGAGGGCTTTGCAGTTCACTGCCTGCCTGTGTT